CCATCATCCTGCTCCTAAATCCAGCTGTCCGGCTCCGGTGGGAGCAGCGCTCAGCGCCGCGGGACACCTGCTGACAGTGCCCCCAGGGCCCCAATCCCCACCTCCCCGTGTCACCCCTGCCCTTACAATCACAGAATCACGGAATTATCGAGGCTGGAAAAATCCCTCTGAGCCCACCGAGCCCAACCACTCCCCCAGCACATCCACATCCACCATTAACCCACATCCCCAAGTGCCACATCCACAGGGGCGTTCAATCCCCCAGGGATGGGGACTCCACCGCTGTGCTGGACAGCCCTGGACAGCCCTTTCCAGGAGCCTGTCCCACACCCCGTGCTCTGTCCCGCATCCCGTGGCCGTGCTCTCACGCCTGAAGAGTCCCCCACCTCCCCCCAGCCAATTCCCCCTTTCACCCTGCAGCCTCTCCCCCCTCTCTGCCGCCCCCCGCCCCGCATATCCCCCTGTTCCGAGGGCGGCTGAGCCCCCCCCTCCCCCGAGCGGATTTGGCCATCCCAATTTTAGCTGTGGCCGGTTCCCGTCCCCGCAGGGCTCCTGTGCTCAGCCTCACCTCCACCTCCACCTCCGCGCCGCGCAAGCCCTGGCTCCCCTCCCGCTGCTGGAAGCGCTCAGGGAAGAGCTGGAGACGTGTTTCCTGCCCAGCGGGGGCACGGGCAGGGCTGGAACGAGCGGGCTGAGCCGTTCGCAAAGCCTTGCAAGCCCCTCTGCCAGCTCCGGACCTGCCCTGTGCCCCGGGGTGACGGTGGGGATGGTCCGAGCTGTGAGAAGCAGCTCCAGGGAACCGCTCTGCCCGTCTCCCCCGGGATTGCTCTGATCCCCAGGTGTCGGATTCCCACTGATCTGCTCCCCCTGAATTCACACACCTGAGTTCCCTGTTGACACCTGCGGGTACCGCACCAGCACGGGGAAAGCTGCAGGTGAGGAGCTGCAGGACAGGGGAGGTCCCAGCCTGGGGTGGGAACTCGGGTCACACAAACAGAGCCCTGGGGAGTTGTTGTGCTGGCCGCCTTGGCCCTCAGAATCCGTGGACAAACACGCTGAGAGGGGGACAGAGCAGCGGGAAGGGATTTGTCAAATCCACGGAGCTGGTTTGGCACCTGAACCTTCAACCCCGACACAGTGCAAGCTGTGCAATAACACCCGGTGTCACCACATCCCCGCCCCAAAGGTGCTCCTTTGCCCGGGACGGTGAAGTTCAGGAAAGGAGGAGTTGAAGGCAGAACAGACCAGGTGAGCTCTCCTGTCCTGCCAGCAGCATTTCCTCCTGAGGCTCTGCTGTGGCACACGTGGGACCTTCCCAGGGTCCCTGACTGCACACTGGCCGTGGGAGAAGGTGACATCAAGCAGAGGGACAACCCCAGAGGGGCTGGCAGAGGGGCAGGACAAACACTGGGACAAAAGGTCTCTGAAGCTGCCTCACAGCAGGGGATTCCTGATGGAAACAGCCTCGTAGAGCTGGTGAAGGAAGCACAGCCATGTCCTGGGCAAGAGATCCATGGAATCATTCAACTGCCCTGGGGAGCAGCTGGGGCCAGGAGCTCACCCTCAGCACGAGAGCACCAAGGCCACCAGGACAAAGCCCGTTCCTCCTGCCTGTGGATGGTGTGACCGTTGGGATAACCAGAGGAGGAAGGGCCGTGGGACTCCTGCCTGGGAAGGAACAGACAGGACAGGACAGGTGTCACTGCTGTGTTTGCAGCAAATGAAAGCCATGGAGGGGACGCTGAGGATGAGGGACATCAGGACATCGTCTGCACAGGGATGACAGGCAGTGACGACACAGGAGATGGTCACAGCTGTGGGGACAGCCCCTTTCCCTGCTGCCCAAAGAAGCCAAGGGTATCCCATTCCAGGAGTGCTGCACTCAGGGTGGCTGAGTTTGGACAGACCCAGGGCTCAGGCAGCTCCTGCTGCTGGATGGGATTTATGTGCCCCAGAGGAGCTCGAAGATTCCTGTCAGAGGTGCTGAGAAGGGCCCAGCCAGGGGCATGGGGAGCTCCAGCTGAGGACACGTCCAGCACGTGGGTGACAACAGCAGAGATCCACAGAGAGCCTGGGAACACCAAGCACTTCCTCTCCGGAAACCTAGGAGCAGGGATGGCATGGGAGCAGCTCCTCAGCTGGGATCTGAGCCCCCCATGTGCCTGTATCCTGTTCTGGCAGTGACAGATCCCGAGAGGAAGAGCAGGGACAGAGCTGTGTTCCACCCGCTGCAGCCCCTGGCAATCCACAGCTCAGGGCCTCGGGAGCCAGAGGCTGCATCTGCCTCTCTGCTTAATAGCCCTCAATCAATTGTTCTCCCACAAATTTGCCTAATGGCTTTTAAAATCCCTTTAAAATCTACTTGGGGCTGCTGCAAACGCCCCGTGGCAACAAATTCCGCTGCGTATCACCCGGGAACACTCAGCCCAAGGAATACACCCTGAGAGATTTCCCCCACCCGTGTGTTTTACAGCTCCGTGGAGCATCCTGAGGGCATCCCAGCTGCTGCTCCGTGTGGGATGACAGGCCTGGAATGAGCAGGCAGGACAGATGTGCTCTGCTGCGTCTTACCAGTCAAGGCAAAGGGAGCTGTAGAAGGGAGGTGAGGTGTGGAATTGTGAGGAGCCGCTCCCACTGCTGTCCCCATGCCATTCCTGCTCCATCCCTGCCTGTCCCCGGCTCAGGTGTTCCCTGAGCTGAGGAACTGGTTTCACTTGAAACCTCGTCCACACCTCTGCCACCCCTCCCTGTGCCACCAGAGCCAGCGCCGGAGCTGAACCGCCCCAGACACTTCGGGGTCATCAGCAAACGCTGACAACTCATCGTTCATCCCATTTCTGGGGGGTTTGGACGATGATGAAAGGCAGAGCTGGATGTGAGTCGGCCCCAGACACTGCAGGATGTGCTCTTGCGTCCCTCTGGACCTTGGGGGGGATGCCTCAGCCTGGCACTTTGTCCCATTCATGTCACTGTTCTGTTCTGTTGTCTGGTCTTTGTCATCCTGGAGAAGGGAAGGCTCCAGGGACACCTCAGAACCCCTTCCAGTGCCTAAAGGGGCTCCAAGAGAGCTGGAGAGGGACTGGGGACAAGGCTTGGAGGGACAGGACACAGGGAATGGCTTCCCACTGCCAGAGGGCAATTAGATGGGATATTGGGAAGGAATTCTTCCCTGTGAGCTGGCGAGGCAGCTGTGGCTGCCTCATCACTCAAATCCAGGTGGGACGGGGCTTGGAGCAAGCTGGGATAGTGGAAGCTGTCCCTGCCTATGGCAGGGGTGGGACTGGATGGGCTTTAAGGTCCCAGTCCTGGGATTTGATGATCCAATGATTCTTTTGTCACTTTGTTTTGAGGCAATTTCCCTGACTGTCCCCCTGTGTCACAGAGCCACAGGGAACTGGACTTGGCCAAGGATGAAAAGTGGTATCAGGAGAGCCACGGGGGCCTCTGGAGCTGCAGCAGACGGGAAAGGTGCCTGGGTGTGGCGAGTGGTTTATGCTGGGTTCCAACCCTTTTATTCCTCGTCCTTTAAAGTTCCCAGACGAACTTCTGCCTTCACTTTGATAAGAACCAGGGATTGGCTTCCCTTCCAGCCCTGTCTGGCACACACAGGACAAGGTCACCCACCGTGGGAGCTTGTGGCACCTGGCACAGACACGGAGGCGGGGAGGGGGTCCCTGGAGGTGGCTGTGGCTCAGGGGGTGATGATGGGGGTCTGACAAGGCCAGATCGCACTGGCACACTGTGACACTGCCACACTGAGGGCCGACAGCAGGTGGGCTCAGACAAGGGAATAGTCCTGTCAGAGTGCCCGGGGCAGTGCCACGGGGCTGCAGCCCGGCAAGACCTGCTGGTGGCCCACACCAGGAACTGCCTCTTGCTCCCTTCTCCCGTGTCAGGGTGAGATGCTGTGCAGGATACGTGGCGTGCACCGTCCGTGTCACCTCGCCCAGAGCCGCCCTCGCCGCGGTCCCCGCGGTCAGCCACAGCGGCCAAAGGAGCCACGGGCTGGAGGAGGTGGACTCCGCCCAAACCCAGCCAGGCGCCGGTGTGGAGGGAGGGTGGGACGAGGAACGGTCGGGATAAAGTAACCGGAGACGGCCAGAAAGAGGGGAAAAACATCCAGTGAGCCAGAGACTTGCCAGGGGAACGAAAACATCCGTCGGGCTCTGGGTGGGGGCTGGTGCGGCCGTTTCGGGGGGCCCAGGGCCCAGTGAGTGGGGTCCCGCGGGGGTGCAGCCCCCAAGTACCCCAAGCGGCTGCTCGGGAAGATGCCGCGGTGGCCGCGTGCGGGCACATCCAGGGATGGGGAGCGGGGAAGACCCCCGGGACGGCGCTGGAGGGGGCAGCGAGCGGGGGGAGGCTGCGTGGCGAGGGGCCACGGGGGTGGGACACGCCCGGGAACGAGGCCCTGAGGGGTGGGACGAGCCCCGGGGCCCCGGGCAGGGGGCAGCGGGTGGGGGCGGGGGGCCGGCGGCGCCCAGGCCGGGAGGGGAACGCACGACACGGACACACCCGGGGGGCCTCGACGGCGGAGCGGGGCGGGCCGAGCCCGGCGGCGCATCCCGGGCCGGGGGTGCGGGGGGCGCCGGGGCTGCGGGGATTGCGAGGGGCGCCGGGGGTGCGGGGGCCCCTCCCGACGGGGCGGGGCGTGCGCGGCCGCACGTCCGGAGCGGAGCGGAGCGGAGCGGGGCGGGACGAGAGCGGGCCGGCCCCGCGCGGCGCGGGCAGAGCGCGGCGGGTTCGGTGCGGGTCGGGGCGGTGCGGTGCCGCCGGCAGCCGGGAGGAGAGGCTCCGTTCCCTTCCCGTCGGCTCGCCTCGCCTCCATTCGACTCGGCGCTCAGCGGCTCGGCCCGACGTGGATCAGAACGGCTCGGCTCGGACCGGATCGAATCGGACCAGACCGGAGCGGATCGAATCGAACCGGACCGGAGCGGCGAGGCTCGGCGAGGCTCAGCGAGGCTCAGCGAGGCTCAGCAAGGCTCAGCTCAGCGAGACTCAGCACAGCTCGGCTCGACTCAGCACAGCTCGGCTCAGCTCGGCTCGCGGCGGGGATGGCGGTGCCGGAGCCGGACGCGCGGCTGGCGCAGGAGAAGGAGGAGGAGAGCGAGGAGGAGAGCGAGGTGCTGGAGGAGAGTCCCTGCGGTCGCTGGCAGAAGCGCCGCGAGCAGGTGGGAGCCGGGCGCGGAGGGACGGAAATGCCGGGGACGGGGACGGGAATGCCGGGGATGTGGATGCCGGGGGATGGGGACGCTGGGGGATGGGGCCCGGCGCGGCCGCAGCCCCCGGGCACGTTC